TATCTGTAGACACCTACTTTTTGCCTCTTGTCCCGAAAGGAAGTGCGATGATGTTACAAAAATTTGTTCTTCATGTTAGATTAATGTCGAAATGTTTATGTACTATGAAAAGAATTATGAAGTAATATAAAACCCAAATTTGAGACCAACTTATCTTAGATCCTTTTTCGATTACTAATTAGGCCAAAAACATGTCCATACATGTTAAAACTTGAATAATAACAAACCCAAATCCGTCAAATGCAATGATTGGATCCAATGGAACCTACATTGTTGAAAAACCGAACCACACAGATAAACTAAACATCAAATTCCTATGAGAAGCCTATACATATGGATATCCCTTTCAAATAGATTTCTAACGGTATTTTATAAGCCCAATTCCGAACCAAAACGAAGAAGTTATGATCAAAACACTAAATCGGGCCCTAAAACTGACACCCTTGCACTCTAACGGCCATAAATTTTTATCCATAATATATTATAACCTAATTCCAACGGAATTAGAAAGTAGACATTAGATATTTCTAATGATATCTCACACGCCTTAATTTGATTCCGCAGTAAAAATTTATGGAAGTTTTAAAAAACATTGTTCTATAAGGCAAACCGCAAACAAGCGCAACTGAATCAGCATTACGGGGACCGAAAATTCTGAATAAGAACTCTAGTATTCTCAAAACTCTAATCTCTCAACTTCTCTTACTATCATACTACTTTTTATTCTCTCTTCCCTAATTATTTCCAACCCTAATTGAATCCATTAAAGTCCTTCGAGGTACGAAAAAGAAATAAAGTCAATAAACACATTAAACGGAGATTTAACATAAAAGAAGAACGGTTAGTTTCCTAAGCACTAAGATAATCACTTTTCGTTTATTGTTTAAATAACTTTAATTGAATAAATAGTGTTGTTTGATCACTTTAAACAAAATTTTAATTAATTAATTCACATAGTACTCTTTCATTAATCAACACTATAATTTGTATGATTAATTGTTTTACCACTTAAGACAAGGCATTGCTTATTTATTATTCTTTCACGAATATTGATTAAATAAGAATAACGACTTTTGTAATGTAATTCCTACATGATTAATGTGTGTAAATAAAATCAAATAACTTAGTTTTAGGTATCGCATTGAATATATTGTTTGGCAATGAAATTGTGAAAAAAAAGAGGTAGTAGAACTGCACTAGGGCTAGAATAGCGATTCCTCCCTAAAAAGAACGTTATTTTAATACCCTCTCTCCCGAACTCATTTCTGGTTTATGTAGATCAATTTGGGCATCGGTAAACCTACGATTCGTGCTAATTATCCCATTAACTCCACATGGGAGAAAGGCATGAACGAGGTTTATGACTTTTCCTAAACTCCCTACTTTTTCCTAAACTCCACATTGCGACTCCCTACTTGTTTCTTATAAAAAAGCGTGATGTCAAGATCAATTCTGATTCAAGGTCCCCCAAAAAGTCAGGAATTCAAATCTTACTACACCTTAACAATTGTAAAATCTTAGGATTTTAAAGGGTCAATGGGCATCTAAGGAAGGATCCCCTTACGATGGGAATACCCTCCTTACATTGGCGACTCCACTGGGGATTTAGAGGTTACAAGATTAGTTCGTAGTTATGGTTCAAGGTTTCCAACACTAGGTTGCCTATGGATTATAACGAGAACTAACTTGGATAATCTTTAGATAGAGAGAGAGACTCGAACGCGTAATATCTTCCTTTTTTCACGAAAGTAAAAAGGAAAATTTGTCAAAAATAACACCACCTTTGGGCGGTCTTCCAAGAATAGAACGACCTTTGGATTATTCCAAAATAACACCACCTTTGATGCACATCCGCCAAAAATAGAACAAAAAACCTGTAGCCTATTTCACAGGTTATATTTGACATGTGTCCATGTGTGATTGGTTAGAAAAAGTATTTTATTTTATCATTTTTTTAACAATAATGATTTTAAAAAACAAAAATTAATTTTTTTTTCTTAAAAAAATTAAAACTAAAATACACTAACTGAAATTAAAAAAAAAAAAAAAACTACCCTCACCGAAAGCAACCCCACCACGACCGCCGGCGGTACCCCATCCTAACCAACCCCTCCCCTCAACCACCTTCCCCCACCCTAAAACCCCCTCCCTCCCCTCAAAAAACCTCATCTCCCCACCGTACCAGCAGTCGCCCAACCAAACCCTTATCCTATTTCTTCGCCACCCTGCCAGCCGTGTCCTTCATCGGGAACCACCACCCCTCACCAGACCATCCCACCTTAAAGCTCCCTTCCTCGATCTCGATTTCAACCCCCCCACGAACCTTCACATCCACCACAAACTCCCCGAAAACCAACAAATTCACACCCATTACGTTTGAATCTGCCGTGAAATCACCGCCCTTCATCCCTATCACCGTGAAACGGCGCGCCCAGCTACCCTTGAAACCCAATCAAACACTAACCTCCACCCAAAGAGAGAGCTTGAGGGAACGAAAAGGGGTGCTAGTAGGACGCTGAGAAAGGGGTCGAGGGGAGGCCTAACAATGGGGGGGAAGGGGTGAGATGACGTCGGAAGGGGTAGGGAGACGGGGTAGTGGAGGAGGGTGGTGGTTGAGCCGGTGGGGTTGGGTAGGGGGTTTTCTTTTTTTTTTTTAATAATTAAGGTTTTATATTTTTATTTTAAGGGTTTTTTTTTGTAAGATTTAATGTTTTTTTAAAAAAAAAACAAATTGACCACTGACTGTTTGACACGTGTCATAGGTAACCTATTAAACAGGTTACTAACAGGTCGGGTTCTATTTACGGAAGATATGAGTCAAAGGTGGTGTTATTTTGGAATAATCTAAAGGTCGTTCTATTCTTGGAAAACCGCCTAAAGGTGGTGTTATTTTTGACAAATTTTCCAAGTAAAAATCAAACAAGCAACATTGCATCATGCATAATCATAGCACAATTTACCCATTGGGGATTGGCTCATTGAATAGGGGTTGCCAACACTAGGCTTCTATCCCAAAATCAATAACAATCATCCCACCCATATCGCCAACAAAATATTGGGATGGCTATGTCGTGGGTCAACACGTTGAGTGATTGATTCGTGCATCGTCCCTTAAGATATGATACCTTTGGACACCCAAGCCTTGACTTTAGACCGACATTGTATGCTTTGATGGTTTCTTTTATGTGCTTATGTGACTACATGAATATGTGATTCGTGTCTAATCTAACTGATTCCAACTTGTTACCTAGAGATATAATAAAAAAAATCGCATAAATTAAGGTTCAACAAAAAAAAAAAGTCTAATCTAACTAATTCCAACAGTTGCGCGCGCCCTCCTAAAGCAATTAAAGAAATTGCGCGCGGCATCTCCAAGCAACAATGTGTCTTGCGCGCGCCCACTGTTCAACGTTTACTTTGACTCGTTACGAGCAATATCATACGGAGAAAACGATACTACCGCTTCAAAGTTAATCATTAAGTAGGTACTAAAAAAGTATCTATTTGGTTAACAACGTTGTCTAACTTTTACTATGATCGTCTTTTTTTGTTTTTTTTTAGAAAAATCCAAAAACATGTTTTTTATCACTCTTTTTGCGTTTTTGCAAATAAACGAAAAGAAAAAAATTCAAAAAAATAAAAAAAAAATGTATTTGTTCGTTCTTTTTGCGTTTTTGTTTTTTTACAAAAAAAAAAAACAAAAAAAAAAAAAAAAACAAAATGTGGTAGACGCTACTCTTGAAGATGCACTTTCCACCTTAGTGCAAGATGGAAAATTGCGCGTGATACTATTTTTGATTATGATGATTCGTTTACGTACTTCATAATCAAACTAATGACATTACTTCTTATGAGGTTCGTCATTAGAAGTTCGCATCCCTTAATAGGACGTCATCAATATGTTTATTCTTAAACGTGCCTATTTTCGTGTTCATCATGTTTTAGTTGTAATTGATCAACCTTGATTTAAGAATATAATTTATTTACCTCTTCTATGGTTTAAATAGGAAATCCCGAGAACCTTACTTGGGATGTTTGCCTCACACAAAATAATAATAATAATAATAATAATAATAATAATAATAATAATAATAATAATAATAATAATAATAATAATAATAATAATAATAATAATAATAATAATAATAATAATAATAATAATAATAATAATAATAATAATAATAATAATAATAATAATAATAGTAATAGTAGTAGTAATAATAATAATAATAATAATAATAATAATAATAATAATAATAATAGTAATATTAATAATAATAATAATAATAATAATAATAATAATAATAATAATAATAATAATAATAATAATAATAATAATAATAATAATAATAATAATAATAATAATAATAATAATAATAATAATAATAATAATAATAATAATAATAATAATAATAATAATAATAATAATAATAATGATTCAAAAAGAAGAGAAAAAATATTATAATTCTAAAAAAAAAGAGAAGATAATGAACGATAAAACCGAGAAAATGATTTAATTATTTCTTGGATTTTACATTCGGAGGCCATCATTCTTTTTAAGCGAATAGTAAAATATGGTCCTTTAAAGATGAGCAATTTGAGAATCATAATTGAAAAAAATAATATAGATCTCTTTTTTTTGGGTAAATAGAATTTTTATTACCAAGAGAAAGATTACAACTTAAAAAAAGCTAAGTTGTTACACCCTAACCACCACAGAACCCAACAAGGCCAAACAAACGCCAAAAGAAAACAGTTTCCAGTTCAAACCTAGCCACCTTCTAGGAAGGGTTTTAGAAAGAAACAGAAACACTAAGTGGACTCAAGGACTCAGACACCTTCTAGGAAGGGTACTAAGCAGAGGGACCAGGACAACACGAATAAACAGAATACAACATATATCTATGAGAGCTATTACATCTTCAAGCAACAAGAAAAATAATTAACCTAATCAACTCAGAAGTTGGTTTGCAGTTTCCTGTAAACATCAGAGCATTCCTCTACAGCCATATATTATAGACAGTCTCAGAGAAGCACATCACAATAAGCTTACTTCTGACATCATTCTTCCTACAATACTTTATGATCCATTGCAGTTCATCAGTAAAACTAAGAATAGACCTAGTGAAACCAAGAGCCTGTAACATTGAAGCCCAGAATAAATGGTTCACAGTTTCATTTGCATCAGCACAGAAGAAACATCAAGGGTCACAATGAATTTGCCAGACCAGAAGTCTGTCTTTAGTAACAAGCCTGCCCAACACAGCAAGCCAGGTGATAAAAATACTTTTTGGAGAAGCTTGGTTATTGCAAATGATTCTCTTCCAGGGAACTTTGAGACCCTAAGGCTTAATGATACTTTAGAGCTTCTTAATCTGCATTTTACCATTTTACAGTAACATTTGACCATCCACCCATGTTGTTCACAATATCTCTAGAAGCAAGGATCTTTTTCAAAATCCAAGATGCCTTTTTAGGAATAGGAGCAGTCCACAAATTCTTACCAGCAAAATAGTAGATGTGAACCCATTTTACCCAAAGATTGTCAGATTTACAAACCAGATCTTAAAGCACTATAGGGATAGCAGCTTTGTTCTAATCTTCTAAAGAAGTTAAGTTCTAGCCACCACAGGTCTTAGGTAAGCACATAAATCTCCAAGCCACTAAAGCTTTCTTTGTGGGGTTACTTTTCCCAGACCAAAGGAAACATCTGAATCTGGCTCCATTTCTCTGATAATTTTCTTTGGCAACACAAAGATCTGAGCCCAAAAAGCTTGAATGCCAAAGAGGACACTCTTATATAATTGAAATCTACCAGCAAAAGATAAGTGTTTAGTAGCCTAAGTGTCAATTCTACCTGTGACCCTTTCAATTAAAGTCCTGCAATAAGAGATAGTGAGTTTTTTTTAGGAAAGGGGCACTCTTAGATACCTAAAGGGAAGAGTACCATTAGCCATCCCAAGGACCTGCTGAAGCTCACATCTCTCTTGATCTAATATACCTCCAAAATAGGCATCTTTTTTATCCAGATTTGCAAATAAGCCTGAAGCCATAGAAAATTTCTGAAAAGCCATGAAAAGCAACTTAACAGAATCCAAATCAGCTCTTGCAAACAAGAGAAGATCATCTGCAAACATTAAAAGAGTAATCCCAAGTTTTTCACACCTAGGATGAAAGTTAAAATACGGATCCTTAGTCATGTCCTGTAGACACCTAGACAGATATTCCATACATAAAGCAAAAAGAAAAGGAGATATAGGATCACCATGCCTTAATCCTTTTCTTTCTTGAAAAGGAGCAGAAGGGTAACCATTGATCATAATTGAGTAAGAAACAGAGGTGATGCAGCCCATAATCCAGTTAATGACCTTGTTAGGAAACCCAAGTTCACCAAGCATAGTGTTAAGGAAGCTCCATTACACAGAGTCATAGGGTTTCCTTAAATCTATTTTCAACATACACCTTGGAGTAACATATTTGTGAGAATTACCCTTAACTAATTCTGTTGCAAGCATTAGGTTGCCACCAATGTGTTTCCCAGGGATAAACCCGGCTTGAGCATCATTTACAACTGACCCAACAAATTTTGCTAACCTTGCAGTAATGACCTTAGAAATTAATTTATATACTAACGTACAACATGCTATAGGTCTGTAATCTTTTGCATAGGAAGGGCTCTGAACTTTTGGGATCAAGGTGAGAGTAGTACAGCTCCAAGACTTCTCAATCACACCAGTGTCAAAAAGAAATCCAAAACAGCTTTGTAAACATCAGTTTTCACATGATTCCAAGTTTTCTTGAAAAACACAGTATTGAACCCATCTATACCAGGAGCTTTATCATCCCCAATACTAGCCAAAGCATGATCAATATCAGAGTGAGAAATAGGAGCAGAGAGAATTGCAATATCCTCAGAAGAAAGTTGTTTCCCAACCCTAACCACAACAATATCAACAGCTGGCAAAGTGCTAGCAGCAGAACCTAGCAACTTCTTGTAAAAACCAATAATCTCAGCTTGCACCATAGCAGGATCCTTAAGAATAATATCATCATTAATGTAAATGGAGTCAATTCTATTCCTATTCTTTCTTTGGTTAAGAACAGAAAAGAAATAATGAGAATTAGAGTCCCCAAGCTTGATCCAATCTACTCTTGATTTCTGCTTTAGAATACTCTCATAAGTATTTATCCAATACTTCACTTCTTCAATTCTCTTAGCTTCCTGAGTTTGGAGAGAAACATTAGTAATATCCTCTGCTAAATGAGATTGAACCTCAGCTAAAGAGAACCTAGCTTCTTCAAATCTTTCAGTGACTTTAGCATAATGCTTAGGTTTAGATTCTTAAGACTAGCTTTGACAGATTTTAGTTTCTTCCAAACCTACAACATAGCATTCCCAGAAATAGAAACATCCCAGTGAGAGGACACAATTTCAAGGAAATCTTGATGAGAGGCAAGACAATTCAGAAATCTAAAAGGTTTTCCTTTTCCAGCAACTGAATGAGCAACATCAACTAGAACAGGACAGTGATTCGAGAGAGAAGGAGGGAGGTAAACTACTTCAGTTTGACCATAAGCCAACACCCAAGCCTCATTAATCAACCCTCTATCAATTCGAGAAGCAGACCCATTCATACCATGACCCTTAATATTCCAAGAGTAGAAGGAGCCTTTACTCTTGATTTCAACAAGCTCCAAGTCATGCACAAAATCCTTGAAATCCTTAACTTCATAATCAGTAACTGGATTCCCATTAAATCTATCATCAGAAGAGAGGATATAATTATAGTCTCCAATACAAATCCAGGGTAACTGAATATTACCCAAGGCCTTGATTCCAGCCCACATAGCAGACCTATGCTGAATAGAATGAAGACCATAAACAAAGGTGCAAGCAACCTGATAATGTAAATCCTTAGTAGTGACAATTGTATGAATGAATTGTTCAGCAACTGTAATAACATCAAGGGGGAGAGTAGGCATGATTACAAATCCATTCCCAAGCTATTTCAAATTTCCTTTTCATAGCTTCAAACTTATGCACTTTAACTTTAGTTTCAAGAATAGCCATAACATCAATAGAGTGATCACTGAGCAATTGCTTTACAGCAGTCACCTTATTAGGGTCATCAACACCCCGAACATTCCAAGTTGTAGTAATCATGAGACTAGAGGGGGATTACCATCACCCCCTGTTAGGAATTATTTCAGCAATTTCATCTTCTAGCAAAGCAGAGTAAGCATTATTAGTTCTGGGTATATTCTGATGAATACCAGCAGCATGAGATCTAGCCCTTTTGCTTACCACCCTCCAATCAGCATCAGAATAATCAGCAAAAGAGGTATGAGCAGGAGTAATAACAGGCTGCAAATCAGTATTTTGGTCCTTTTCTTGATCCTGTTCAGTAACCACAACTGAAGCAGGAACTGGAGCAGGTTGTTTCTGGACCCAAACCTTTTCTTGTGGGGGTTTAACTGGCTAGGACACAGTTTGTTTAGGTTTAGGCTTGACCTTAGGAGCAGTACAATCATGCCCTACTTTATCACATTTCTTACAAAAGGGTGGAGACCATTGAAATTGCACCTTTCACTCAAGCACTTCACCCATAGGGCTTTCAACAGTCACACTAGTAGGCAGAGGTCTAGTTATATCAACTTCTATGAGCACTCTAGCAAAAGAGTCTCTAAGTTGCCTAGTTGTACACTCAACAGCAAACAAGGGCGCCCTAATTGTACTACCAATTCTGCTTAAAGTTTCTACACCCCAGCAATTTAGAGGCAAATTTGGAAATCTAACGCATAGAGGCACAGTTCTAAGTATCTTAGCTTGAAAATTAAATTTATCAGTCCATGGCTTAACAATAGCAGGCTTATTATTAAACATATGAGGCCCTGAACTTAGAACAACATTCTTATCATCACTTGAACACAGATTGATTTTAAAATAAACATCATCATGCCAAAATATTTCAGGTTTAGCAAAATTACTCCGGTTTTGGGCAATGAATTTATGAACAGCAGCAATTGTGGGATAAAATCCAACAACATAAAATATAATTGCGTTGCACCACTTAGAGTTACCTGCTGCGATTTCCTCATCTTGGATTTGGGCCACAGACCTTCCACTCTTCAAAATAGGCGCCACAAAATTCAGAGCAGCACCCTTAGCAGTCTGTTTACCAAGAAACAGACTCGACCAATTCTCAGAATTCCTGGGTTGATTAGCTGATCCAGGGTGTTCAAGGTGACATGCAGACCCAGAAACAATCAGAATCGCATCATTTGGTTGTACAGCCGTAGATTCAGGCAATAGAACAGTAACCGGGGAAACCCTAGGTACCACTTCACTAGATTTCTGCAACGGAGCAGCAGCAAATGAATCCTCAAGAATCTTCAATTCATCCCTAGTTATCCTACCACCAGATGGATGAACAAGATGAGCTGGCGGAGAAACCATCTCAGTTTCATCTTTAACCTCCGGGATGGTGTTCACATTCAAGTTCTTCAATCGAGTAAGATCACCAGGAGTAAGAGATCCAAAAGTAGGAGATCGAGGGAGTGGAGTAGCTTGTTTCTTCTTTTTAGCCATGATAATCAGAGCTGAGTTAGAAAACCAACTTCAGATCAAACCCCCACGAAAACCGTCACAGAACTAGAGCTTCTCTCTCTAACTTTCTCTCTCTGAATGTAAATGATATAGATATCTACTTCAATCCAAGTTATCAACTAATACCATAGTATATTTAATCATTTTAAGAAGTATATTCGAGTTGATTAATATTCCTAAAATTTGATGAGCATTTTCAATCCAACTTTCTTGTCATTTTCTTCTACCTTTTTCGAAAACAATTCATTTAAAATAAAATCCTTAGATGATTATCTTGTTGAAGTCAACACAAATCATGACATTCCATTAATGATTGTTAGTGAATTTTTTGACATTCTTCATCAACAAACTTGCTTAAAGTGAATTCGTATTACAAGGATTAAAAAAGAAAAAAGAAATAAACCAATCATTTTTACTTTGGTTCATTGTTTGAATGCTTGGCAGAAAAGTTTTAAAGTGAACCGCTCAATTTCTCGTGACACACATTACTAGATCATCTTCCACATTTGCATACTAGTTCAATCATGGGTGACAAAGCAGCATTGGAGAAACTTAGAGAGGAACTCCGAAACCTAAAGGCCCTACAAGAAGAAGAAGCCCAAATGAAGGCTCATAAAAAAAGTAGAAAAGGCTATAGTAAAAGCAAAAAAATAAAAAGAAAACATTCTGCAAGAAAAGGCGAGAGCCAAAAGAGTAGAGGCCTTAGAGAAACTTGTCCTTCGAGCCAACTCAGGGAATAAGTAAATCAATTATGAGCTTGCACTACAACCTAGTGACAAAACTCTCCCAGAAAAGTTCTTGACAACGGATTTTCCAACCTTTAAGGTTAAGACAATCCTAAGACTCACTTAATGAGTTTTATTGGAATTATGGAGATAACATCGAGCTCTTGCGCGATCTCGAATTGCTTAAGCAAGGGGAAGAAGAAGGCTTCATTGACTTCTTTTACAGGTGGCGATCAAAGGTCTCTCTTATTCCACAAAGACCTCCGGATCATGAACTTTTCCCAAAGTTCATAGACAATATGTCTCCACCATACAAGTGCCATTTACAATACCTTGGTTTAGACACATTTCAAAAAGTCTATACTGTAGGAATATTAATTGAAAGGGACTTGATAAATGAAACCATGAATCATATAGATGGACTTGATTTTTAGAGAATATTTCACCTACATTGAAAACGGACAAAGCTCGAAGACGCAATCTCAAGAAGTTGTCAACAATTCAAGATGTAGCACCCTAGGTCTTGTTTTGATTCTTTCGTTTGTTTTTTTTATTATTTATGATAGACTAAGAGATTCATGTTGTCGAATCTACTTATTTTGTACTCCCATTATTTAATGAATAAAAAAATACATTTTCAAGTACGTCTTTCTTGTTCTCTTTTCAATCTCTTTATTGTTATTGACTTGAATTAAATAAAACTTATACATACAAACATGCAATATCAAAAGGCATACATACTCAACACCTTAAGAATCTTGATGAGCTTTGGCTTATAAGATGTATTGAATGAAAAGAGGCGTATCTTAGACCCACAAACAAAGGATATGATGATTTCACCAACAGAGGAGGCAACTTGAAACTCCACAAATATAATCCCATGTCCTTAACCTTAGAAAAAATCCATGTTTTGACAGCCCTTTTGAGCCTTGTCAATTGAGTCTTAGTTATTCAACCTACATTATTCCATACCTTGGGATGGCAATGGTGCAAAGATACAAATAGGAAATTAGGAGAACGAAACATAAGAGAGGGACACAAAGTTAGTCTAAACCCAAAAGGAAAGATCAAATTCAAAAGAAAAAAATCTTTCTAAACCCAAAACAAAACTTGTCAAAAAAAAAGAGAGAGAAAAAAGGACAGATGACAAGGAAAAGACACCTAATGTAGGAAGTTGCCACACAAAACAGAAAGGTTTTAATTTGAGAAGCACCAAAAGTAAGGGATTTTGGGAGTATAATTGAGCCTGTCCATTGTTCATAACCTGAAGCCTAGCAACGCTACAACCTTGGAAAGGCCCTCCTGGAGGTAGACCATAACCATATACTAAAATCATCATTCCATGAAAATATAGCCAATCTTAGGCCTTTGCACATATGGACCTACTATGGAGTAGTCATGCCCATATGTAAAATGCATGAAGTGTTGAGTTATGATTACAAGATCATATAAAAAAAATTTAAATGATTTGGATGATTTTATAGCCATTGATTTGATTACATCATGTTATTAAAGCAATCGAATCAAACTAAATTCGATGTTTTCAATATCTTTTGCCAAAGAAAAATGAGATGTTTATCACTTTTTTAAAAAAAAGACACAATCATCTTATTTTATTTTAATAAAAGTGCTATTTATTACCAAGGTAATTCAAGTTCTATATACATTGCCTAGAAAGAAAAATATTTAATACAATAAATTGATTTGATATATCGACGGCCTTGATGTCAACTTTTGATGTCATTTTACAGCTCTTGAAAATTGGTGTTTTTACTTGTCATGAGCAACTAAAATGTCCGCCTACGTGGGATATCAGCATCTTATCTAAGCAAGGAATATTTATTGAACATGATCGCTACATGAATAAAAGATCGTTATTGCTATCACATGTATACCTCACTACCAAGTCATCACGATGATTCAAATATTTAGTCAATAATCCTTGCTTTTCGAAAACATGTCTTATGTTCTTTCTTTATTCTTCTATGGGAAAGTTGGATTCCCCTTCCTTTTTTACAAATCCATCTTTTTTGTTCATTTCTATTTTAGGGGGTAAGTCGGGATGATCCCTCCCGTTTGGCAACTAAAATACTAAAAAATAGTATAATTTTTTCGCTCTTTGCCTAAAATTAGGGGCTTAAAAAAGCCAGGACATCCAAGTTCTCTCTATTTACAGATTTGAACACGCTATTTATGCTGCAAAAACAATGTCATGCAAAGCTTATTACGAACCATCATAATAACTTTAAATGAAAAATAGAAGAACATCACTTCCATTTATTTGACCAAGATGATTAATTATGTTAATTTATCAAACAATTTATGATAAACATACGCAATATTAAGCAAATCGAAAATCAAAATCTTAGGGCCTTAAGTAAACATGAGAAACATCCCCCTAGCATATGTATACATGAATTACAAAAGCCACCTAAAGTCTACGCTTGGGGGCTTCAAATTAAAAATATAGGTCACACCTTAACTTTCATTTTAAAATGAGAACATATTTTAGAAAGTGATTCGAATGATTTTATAAATTATTCTAACACTTCACCAAAACTAGGTTTGATAAACATTCATTTTCAAACTACTGTGCTTATTTAATTGAAAGAACTTCACTTTTAATTAGAAAAATATGACAATGATGACAA